ATGGTAATTGAAACCCGCATCTCTCCAACAAGAACACTTCAGGTGAATGGATACTACACATACACTTCCTCGCATCCGCATAGTCACAGAAGTGGTGGAGTTGCAACATTAATAAAACACGGGATCAAGCATTCAGCTCTTCAGCCAATAGCAGCATCGTTCCTGCAATGTGCTCCAATTACCGTGACCACTGAAGAAAACAACAGAATAAACACGGTCATTATTGCGCCAATATATTGCCCTCCACAACATACCTGGTCTACAAATCACTTTAAGATGCTATTCAAACACTTCGACAGTCTCATCAAAGGTTCCAGTTTCATCCTTTGCGGCGACTGGAACGCAAAGCATCAGTGGTGGGGCAATACTCGTTCCTGTCGCCGTGGTAGAGCCATAATGGAGTGTATTCATAAATACAATCGCTACAATGTGCTTGCAACAGGAGGTGCAACGCACTTTCCTTACGACAAGAAGAAGAAACCGTCCGCCATTGATTTCGCCGTCTACGGTGGACTGAGTAAAGGATTACTCGTTACTCACTCCACAATCGATTTAGATTCCGACCACCTCCCAATCCACGTTGAACTTGGAGTCAGAGGTCCAATAACTAAAACGCAGTCTTCAAGACGTCGACTTCTGCCAAAAAAAGTAAATCTTAGAAAATTCCAAGAAGATTTAAACCAGCGAGTTCTGCTAAATACAGAAATCAAATCAGGCATCGACATCGAAGATGCGATCGATATACTCACCAATAATATCTACAACGCTGCCAAAGCTGCTACACCTTTACCTCGTCGTCCACACCAACAAGAACACCGGCATCGTCATATAAACTCTGGCAACTATGCTCTAAATAGCCAAACAAAAAAACTAATTCGGCTTAAGCACAAATGCAAGCGCGAATTTATGATCCTGAGAACACCGTGCTTGAAAAAACGATACAATAACGTCCAGAATCGTTTAAAGAAGGCTCTGCGCCTAGCCAACTCTGAGCACATAAACAAAATGTTCGATAAAATTGATGCGAACGATCGCTACAAAATGCAGAAGTTGTGGAAAATTACTAAAAACTTTAAACGGCAACCAGAGCCCAACTGGCCGCTCAAAACAAGCCCGGATAGCAACAGCAGCAGCAATAATTGGACAAGGAGCAGCAATGAAAAAGCTGAGGTCTTTGCATCACATCTGGAACAACGATTCAAGCCAATTCTTAGCAACACGGATGAAATGCGAAAAAATATAGCACATGAGTTGGCACAGCAGCAGCAACTAAAATTACAGCAGGAAAGCGGCGCAGCTAGTATTGTTAGTGGTACTAAATCTAACACATTACCATTCCGACCAGTAACCGTAAGCGAGACTATGCTGGTTATAAGCTCTCTAACGTTGAATAAATCACCTGGCCTCGACAACATAGATAACCAGACTATTAAATCGTTGCCACAGAAAGCAATTACTTACCTGGTACTTATTTATAACTGCATCTTCAGACTTGGGCATTTTCCTAAGCAGTGGAAGTGTGCTGCTATCACGATGATCTTGAAGCCTGGCAAAAGCACGGACAGCGTAACATCCTATCGTCCAATAAGCCTTCTGGCGGGTTTCTCGAAGATATTCGAAAGGCTCCTCATGCGCAGACTTTTCGAATGTGATGACTTCGCCAAAGCTGTACCCACCCACCAATTCGGTTTCAGGAAAGAACATGGCACAGAGCAGCAACTTGCTAGAGTAACCCAGTTTATTCTAGACGCGTATGAGAACCGCATGTTCTGCTCTGCAGTATTCATTGACATTAGCGAGGCCTTTGACAGAGTCTGGCATACTGGCCTCCTATGGAAGCTAATCAAGCTGATGCCAATCAAGTTATTCAATGTACTGCAAAGTTATCTCGAAAATCGAACATTCATCGTATGCTGCAATGATGGGACCAAGTCAAAGCTTGGTAAACTTGGTGCCGGAGTACCACAGGGTAGTGTTCTCGGCCCCATCTTGTACACCATATACTCGTCTGATATGCCACTCCCAGCGGATGCACAATACTTTTTCCACAGACACAACGACGACAGTATGCTTCTATCTACTTACGCGGATGACACCATTATAATGAGCAAGGCCGCCACAGCCCAAAGTGCAATCAATATTAACCAAGCGTACCTAAACTGCTTCAATAACTGGGCCAATCGCTGGTGTATAAGCATTAATACCAATAAAACGGCACACGTCATCTATACTGCAAATAGAATTGATCAAATGCATACTTTGCGTCCACCACGTTTGAACGAACAGTCAATTGTTACCAAAACATGCCACCAATATTTGGGATTCCACATGGATCGGAAGCTAAATTGCACAATCCACATCACACAACTTTGTAATCGTCTGCGAGCCACATATAAAAACCTGGAGTGGATGCTTGGATGGGATAGCAAGCTGTCAAACACCTGTAAAGCAGTCATTTATAAACAGCTCATAGTACCAATATGGCAATATGCCTTACCTATTTATGGAGCTTTGGCATCAAATGCGCAGCTAAAACGCCTTGAGGTACTACAGAACATCACTTTACGTAGGACCATGAGAGCCCCCTGGTTTACCAGAAACCAAGCAATCAGAGACACCTATAATATAAAGACAATTGAGGAAACATTTCAGCTTGCTAGTGGCAGGTTTGCCGCCTCACTCAGTATCCATCCGAATGTGGAAGCACGCAAATTAATTCTCCATCCACACGTGCCGCAACGTCTGCAACGGCCGAGATACAAGCAGCAATTAAACCAGCATGTTCTACCACTCCAAAAACGGCTACAGCAGAAACCGCAACAACAACAGCAGACACAGCACGACGGCTTGCCAACGTTGCTGAGGTTGGAGAAAGAGAAGCAGGATGCCTTGCGACTTGCAGACACTTCGCTCACCCGGCAACACCAGCAGTCAAAACCACCAAAGCGGTTCGGTGAATCATTGATAAACTCATTGAGGCGTAGCTACAGGGATGGAGAGATGACGCTAGAGCAGGTCCAGGACATGATCAAAGACCAGCCTTTAGTAATTCAACGTCTAATTCTGCCAGCGCCACCTCCGACTGAGCAACAGAACGAGCCACAACAACAATTGCTCATTGACGATGAAGAGCAGCTTGCCACACGACTAAAGCTCCTCCAGCTGCACATGGAACGCGAACTCGACGAGGCGCCTAATGAAGATACAACAGCGCAACATCACCAATTGTCGGGGTCGACTGAATCACATGCGGATTCAATCCAGCACGAACTCTTCAGGCCACAGCAGATAAGGCAGCAATATACACTAGCAGGCGAGCAAACGCAGCACGAAGTTTGTCAGCAGAAGCGAGCCTTTGAGCTGACCATAGCCATGTTCGGCATGCCTCCAATCTGGCCCCATCAGCCATGGCAACAGCAACAACATAGCCTGCCAATTACTTTTCCTCTGCCAGGACACAAACGACAATGGCAGAAGGGGAACACTGAGCAACAGCATCAGAGCCGGGCTGATAGCCCACCCACAAAAACACAACGAGTTAATTCTGTAAATGAAGGCCAAATATACGGATTATTGACTGAGCCAAGTACAGAATGCACAAAGTCACCTGCAAATCCAATTCGATCGGCCCTGCCACGACATCAACAACAAAGGCAGCACGTAATTATCGAGCGAACAGCTGAGCAGCAGCAGCAGACCCGGGCGGATGGCCCATCATCAGCGTCACAGCGAGTTATTTCTGCAAATGAACACCAAACATATGCACTATTTACCGAGTCAAATACAGAATGCATACATCTACCTGCACAACCATTTCGATCTCTTCCGCCATGGCATCAACGACAAAGGCAGCAAGAGATCATAGAACAGCAACAACTAGTTTCAGCAGAACAGCTCCTCCAGCCATGGCAACAGCAACCACAAAGCCAGCCAGCAAGTTTCTCCCAGTCGGGACAACAGCGACAAGAGCAGCCGGGGAACACTGAGCAGCAGCAGCAGAGCCGGGCTGAAGCTACATCAACAACAACGCGGCCAGCTAATTCTGAAAATGGAAAACAAACTTATGTATTGACTGAGCCAAGTACAGAATGCACAAAGTCACCTGCAAATCCAATTCGATCGGCCCTGCCACGACATCAACAACAATGGCAGCACGTAATTATCGAGCGAACAGCTGAGCAGCAGCAGCAGACCCGGGCGGATGGCCCATCATCAGCGTCACAGCGAGTTATTTCTGCAAATGAACACCAAACATATGCACTATTTACCGAGTCAAATACAGAATGCATACATCTACCTGCACAACCATTTCGATCTCTTCCGCCATGGCATCAACGACAAAGGCAGCAAGAGATCATAGAACAGCAACAACTAGTTTCAGCAGAACAGCTCCTCCAGCCATGGCAACAGCAACCACAAAGCCAGCCAGCAAGTTTCTCCCAGTCGGGACAACAGCGACAAGAGCAGCCGGGGAACACTGAGCAGCAGCAGCAGAGCCGGGCTGAAGCTACATCAACAACAACGCGGCCAGCTAATTCTGAAAATGGAAAACAAACTTATGTATTGACTGAGCCAAGTACAGAATGCACAAAGTCACCTGCAAATCCAATTCGATCGGCCCTGCCACGACATCAACAACAATGGCAGCACTTAATTATCGAGCGATCAGCTGAGCAGCAGCAGCAGATCCGGGCGGATGGCCCATCATCAACGTCACAGCGAGTTATTTCTGCAAATGAATATAAAAAATATGCATTATTTACCGAACCAAGCATAGAATGCATACACTTACCTGTACAATCAATTCAATCTCTTCCGCCATGGCATCTACGACAAAGGCAGCAAGATACCATAGAACAGCAACAACTAGCTTCAGCAGAGCAGCTCCTCCAGCCATGGCAACACCAACAACTAAGCCAACCAGTAAGTTTCTCTCAGTTGGGACAACAACGACAAGAGCAGCCGGGGAACACTGAGCAGCAGCAGCAGAGCCGGGCTGAAGCTACATCAACAACAACGCGGACAGCTAATTCTGAAAATGGAAAACAAATTGATGTATTGACTGAGCCAAGTATAGAATGCTCACAGTTAGCTACAAATCCAATTCGATCGCCCCTGCCACGACGTCAACAACGAAGGCAGCAAGTGATCATCGAGCGAACAACTGAGCAGCAGCAAATTCGGTCTGAAACCAACATGACACAGAAGTGGCCAGATCAGCACTGGGATACCGAGCGAGAAACTCTACAGCAATTGCCTGTTACTCAGCTTAAAAAATCTGGAAACAAATTCATAAAACAGGCTTCATTATCGGTGCCTAATAGTAAATGCACTCACTTACCTGAACAGACAATTCGATTTCCATTTCCACGGCAACGAGTTGGTCAACTTGGGATTTTAGACCAGCAGCAAATCCAGCCCTCAGCTAAACGACGGAGGCAACTTGGACCTGCAGAGCCGCCTTCGACTCACCTAGACCAATTGGCAAAAAAACGTAAGATGAGTGCAAACGAAAATCGACGACCAAGTTGCTCCTTCCTACCAGGACAACAAAGACAAGGGCAGCCGGAGAATATTAAACAGCAGCAGAGCCGGGCGGAAGCCTCATCAACAACAGCGCAGCGAGCTAATTCTGAAAATGGAAAACAAACATATGTATTGACCAAGCCAAGTATAGAATGCACATATTTACCTGCGCTACCAATTCAATCGCCTTTGCCACGGCATCAACGGCAAAAGCTGCAAGAGCAGCTCCTCCAGCCATGGCAACAGCAACATCAAAGCCAGCCAATGAGTTTCCCTCAGCCAGGACAACAACGACAAGAGCACCCGGGGAACACCGAGCAGCAGCAGCAGATCCGGGCGGATGGCCCACCATCAACGTCACAGCGAGTTATTTCTGCAAACGAATATCAAACATATGCATTACTTACCGAGCCAAGTAGAGAGTGCATACACTTACCTGTTCAATCTCTTCCGCCATGGCACCAACGACAAAGGCAGCAAGATATCATTAAACAGCAGCAATTGGCAGAGGGGCTCCTCCATTTATGCCAACAGCAACAACAAAGCCAGCGAATGAGTTTCTCTCTGCCAAGACACAAACGACAAAGGCAGCCGAGGAACACTGAGCAACAGCAACAGAGCCAGGCAGAAGGCCCACCAGCAAAAATGCAGCTAGTTAATTCTGTAAAGGAAGATCAAATACACGAATTATTAAATGAGCCAAGTATAAAATGCACACTGTTACCTGCAAATCCAATTCGGTCGCCCCTGCCACGACGTCAAAAACAAAGGCAGCAAGTGATTACTAAGCGAACAACTGTACGAAGTTTTGCACAGTTGCGGAGTATGGAGCGGCAGCAGCAGAGCCAGGCAGAAGCCTCATCAACAACGAAACAGCGAATCATCCCTGCAAGGAAAGATCAAATACACAAATTAATGAAAGAGCCAAGTGTGGAATGCATACATTTACCTGCACAACCAATTAAATCTCTTCCGCCACGCTATCAACGACAAAGGCAGCAAGAGATCATTGAACAGCAGCAACTAGTTTCAGCAGAGCAGCTCCGCAAACCACGACAAAAACAACAACAAAGTCTGCCAATGAGTTTCCCTCAGCCAGGGCAACAACGACAAGGGCAGCCGGGGATCATTCAGCAGCAGCCATCAATATCTGCAAATGGAGATAATACACATCTACCACTGACTGAGACAAGTGTGAAGTTCACATACTCACCTGCACAACCAACCCGATCACCTCCGCCACGGCATCACCGGCATAGGCAGCAAGGGTTCAGTGAGCACACTAAGCTACAACAACAAACTCCGACAGGCACCAAGCGCAAGCGATCCCCTCAGTTAGCACAGCAGCAACAACACAGGCATCTTCCAACCACAGACCAGGAACAGCTCCAAATTGGGCCGCATTCCTTGCAAAGTCCACTACGGCACGCGACATGTGGCCAACGGCAACGGACGCCGCAGCAGTATCCAGTTAGCGAGTGGCGACCCGGACATAACTGGAGGCAACTCGCACATCGAAAGGCACGCCCGCTTGCGAATTCACCAGAGTCCCCTGGAAAGATAAGAATAATTAATTAATTAGTAACTGGTGTTAAAAAAAAAAAAAAAAAAAAAAAAAAAAAAAAAAAAAAAAAAACAATGTATCATGTGTAACTTATTTGTAAGAAAATATTGCCAGACTGCAATACACTGCAGTCGATCACTTCCGATGCATGCGATGAATTCTCGTTCATCGCATGCGGAGTTGCCACTTTGTTTTAAGTATCGATATGTACGCTAATTATATTTGAATAAGTTGCTCGATAGTAACGCACAAATAAAATAGGTAAGCTGCCGATTGTCTCATTCGACAGCAAGCCCTCATCGTGTACAATAGTGCACAGCAACCTGAAAAAAAAGCAGCATCGTTCCTGCAATGTGCTCCAATTACCGTGACCACTGAAGAAAACAACAGAATAAACACGGTCATTATTGCGCCAATATATTGCCCTCCACAACATACCTGGTCTACAAATCACTTTAAGATGCTATTCAAACACTTCGACAGTCTCATCAAAGGTTCCAGTTTCATCCTTTGCGGCGACTGGAACGCAAAGCATCAGTGGTGGGGCAATACTCGTTCCTGTCGCCGTGGTAGAGCCATAATGGAGTGTATTCATAAATACAATCGCTACAATGTGCTTGCAACAGGAGGTGCAACGCACTTTCCTTACGACAAGAAGAAGAAACCGTCCGCCATTGATTTCGCCGTCTACGGTGGACTGAGTAAAGGATTACTCGTTACTCACTCCACAATCGATTTAGATTCCGACCACCTCCCAATCCACGTTGAACTTGGAGTCAGAGGTCCAATAACTAAAACGCAGTCTTCAAGACGTCGACTTCTGCCAAAAAAAGTAAATCTTAGAAAATTCCAAGAAGATTTAAACCAGCGAGTTCTGCTAAATACAGAAATCAAATCAGGCATCGACATCGAAGATGCGATCGATATACTCACCAATAATATCTACAACGCTGCCAAAGCTGCTACACCTTTACCTCGTCGTCCACACCAACAAGAACACCGGCATCGTCATATAAACTCTGGCAACTATGCTCTAAATAGCCAAACAAAAAAACTAATTCGGCTTAAGCACAAATGCAAGCGCGAATTTATGATCCTGAGAACACCGTGCTTGAAAAAACGATACAATAACGTCCAGAATCGTTTAAAGAAGGCTCTGCGCCTAGCCAACTCTGAGCACATAAACAAAATGTTCGATAAAATTGATGCGAACGATCGCTACAAAATGCAGAAGTTGTGGAAAATTACTAAAAACTTTAAACGGCAACCAGAGCCCAACTGGCCGCTCAAAACAAGCCCGGATAGCAACAGCAGCAGCAATAATTGGACAAGGAGCAGCAATGAAAAAGCTGAGGTCTTTGCATCACATCTGGAACAACGATTCAAGCCAATTCTTAGCAACACGGATGAAATGCGAAAAAATATAGCACATGAGTTGGCACAGCAGCAGCAACTAAAATTACAGCAGGAAAGCGGCGCAGCTAGTATTGTTAGTGGTACTAAATCTAACACATTACCATTCCGACCAGTAACCGTAAGCGAGACTATGCTGGTTATAAGCTCTCTAACGTTGAATAAATCACCTGGCCTCGACAACATAGATAACCAGACTATTAAATCGTTGCCACAGAAAGCAATTACTTACCTGGTACTTATTTATAACTGCATCTTCAGACTTGGGCATTTTCCTAAGCAGTGGAAGTGTGCTGCTATCACGATGATCTTGAAGCCTGGCAAAAGCACGGACAGCGTAACATCCTATCGTCCAATAAGCCTTCTGGCGGGTTTCTCGAAGATATTCGAAAGGCTCCTCATGCGCAGACTTTTCGAATGTGATGACTTCGCCAAAGCTGTACCCACCCACCAATTCGGTTTCAGGAAAGAACATGGCACAGAGCAGCAACTTGCTAGAGTAACCCAGTTTATTCTAGACGCGTATGAGAACCGCATGTTCTGCTCTGCAGTATTCATTGACATTAGCGAGGCCTTTGACAGAGTCTGGCATACTGGCCTCCTATGGAAGCTAATCAAGCTGATGCCAATCAAGTTATTCAATGTACTGCAAAGTTATCTCGAAAATCGAACATTCATCGTATGCTGCAATGATGGGACCAAGTCAAAGCTTGGTAAACTTGGTGCCGGAGTACCACAGGGTAGTGTTCTCGGCCCCATCTTGTACACCATATACTCGTCTGATATGCCACTCCCAGCGGATGCACAATACTTTTTCCACAGACACAACGACGACAGTATGCTTCTATCTACTTACGCGGATGACACCATTATAATGAGCAAGGCCGCCACAGCCCAAAGTGCAATCAATATTAACCAAGCGTACCTAAACTGCTTCAATAACTGGGCCAATCGCTGGTGTATAAGCATTAATACCAATAAAACGGCACACGTCATCTATACTGCAAATAGAATTGATCAAATGCATACTTTGCGTCCACCACGTTTGAACGAACAGTCAATTGTTACCAAAACATGCCACCAATATTTGGGATTCCACATGGATCGGAAGCTAAATTGCACAATCCACATCACACAACTTTGTAATCGTCTGCGAGCCACATATAAAAACCTGGAGTGGATGCTTGGATGGGATAGCAAGCTGTCAAACACCTGTAAAGCAGTCATTTATAAACAGCTCATAGTACCAATATGGCAATATGCCTTACCTATTTATGGAGCTTTGGCATCAAATGCGCAGCTAAAACGCCTTGAGGTACTACAGAACATCACTTTACGTAGGACCATGAGAGCCCCCTGGTTTACCAGAAACCAAGCAATCAGAGACACCTATAATATAAAGACAATTGAGGAAACATTTCAGCTTGCTAGTGGCAGGTTTGCCGCCTCACTCAGTATCCATCCGAATGTGGAAGCACGCAAATTAATTCTCCATCCACACGTGCCGCAACGTCTGCAACGGCCGAGATACAAGCAGCAATTAAACCAGCATGTTCTACCACTCCAAAAACGGCTACAGCAGAAACCGCAACAACAACAGCAGACACAGCACGACGGCTTGCCAACGTTGCTGAGGTTGGAGAAAGAGAAGCAGGATGCCTTGCGACTTGCAGACACTTCGCTCACCCGGCAACACCAGCAGTCAAAACCACCAAAGCGGTTCGGTGAATCATTGATAAACTCATTGAGGCGTAGCTACAGGGATGGAGAGATGACGCTAGAGCAGGTCCAGGACATGATCAAAGACCAGCCTTTAGTAATTCAACGTCTAATTCTGCCAGCGCCACCTCCGACTGAGCAACAGAACGAGCCACAACAACAATTGCTCATTGACGATGAAGAGCAGCTTGCCACACGACTAAAGCTCCTCCAGCTGCACATGGAACGCGAACTCGACGAGGCGCCTAATGAAGATACAACAGCGCAACATCACCAATTGTCGGGGTCGACTGAATCACATGCGGATTCAATCCAGCACGAACTCTTCAGGCCACAGCAGATAAGGCAGCAATATACACTAGCAGGCGAGCAAACGCAGCACGAAGTTTGTCAGCAGAAGCGAGCCTTTGAGCTGACCATAGCCATGTTCGGCATGCCTCCAATCTGGCCCCATCAGCCATGGCAACAGCAACAACATAGCCTGCCAATTACTTTTCCTCTGCCAGGACACAAACGACAATGGCAGAAGGGGAACACTGAGCAACAGCATCAGAGCCGGGCTGATAGCCCACCCACAAAAACACAACGAGTTAATTCTGTAAATGAAGGCCAAATATACGGATTATTGACTGAGCCAAGTACAGAATGCACAAAGTCACCTGCAAATCCAATTCGATCGGCCCTGCCACGACATCAACAACAAAGGCAGCACGTAATTATCGAGCGAACAGCTGAGCAGCAGCAGCAGACCCGGGCGGATGGCCCATCATCAGCGTCACAGCGAGTTATTTCTGCAAATGAACACCAAACATATGCACTATTTACCGAGTCAAATACAGAATGCATACATCTACCTGCACAACCATTTCGATCTCTTCCGCCATGGCATCAACGACAAAGGCAGCAAGAGATCATAGAACAGCAACAACTAGTTTCAGCAGAACAGCTCCTCCAGCCATGGCAACAGCAACCACAAAGCCAGCCAGCAAGTTTCTCCCAGTCGGGACAACAGCGACAAGAGCAGCCGGGGAACACTGAGCAGCAGCAGCAGAGCCGGGCTGAAGCTACATCAACAACAACGCGGCCAGCTAATTCTGAAAATGGAAAACAAACTTATGTATTGACTGAGCCAAGTACAGAATGCACAAAGTCACCTGCAAATCCAATTCGATCGGCCCTGCCACGACATCAACAACAATGGCAGCACGTAATTATCGAGCGAACAGCTGAGCAGCAGCAGCAGACCCGGGCGGATGGCCCATCATCAGCGTCACAGCGAGTTATTTCTGCAAATGAACACCAAACATATGCACTATTTACCGAGTCAAATACAGAATGCATACATCTACCTGCACAACCATTTCGATCTCTTCCGCCATGGCATCAACGACAAAGGCAGCAAGAGATCATAGAACAGCAACAACTAGTTTCAGCAGAACAGCTCCTCCAGCCATGGCAACAGCAACCACAAAGCCAGCCAGCAAGTTTCTCCCAGTCGGGACAACAGCGACAAGAGCAGCCGGGGAACACTGAGCAGCAGCAGCAGAGCCGGGCTGAAGCTACATCAACAACAACGCGGCCAGCTAATTCTGAAAATGGAAAACAAACTTATGTATTGACTGAGCCAAGTACAGAATGCACAAAGTCACCTGCAAATCCAATTCGATCGGCCCTGCCACGACATCAACAACAATGGCAGCACTTAATTATCGAGCGATCAGCTGAGCAGCAGCAGCAGATCCGGGCGGATGGCCCATCATCAACGTCACAGCGAGTTATTTCTGCAAATGAATATAAAAAATATGCATTATTTACCGAACCAAGCATAGAATGCATACACTTACCTGTACAATCAATTCAATCTCTTCCGCCATGGCATCTACGACA